GGGGCTGACACACACGCCACATTTGCCGTGGTTTCACGTCGTGTTGAGTCCAGATATATCATGTGCTTCGTCTGTCAGTATACATGGCAGCGTCGGTGCCTGTGTCGTCAAAACCAGGGCCGTAGCGTCTATTATCAATCAGGGCCGGAAGCAACCACGACCAAAAGGTCTAGAAATCTAACACACAACATCATGGAGTCGGTAAACTTTTACCTTCTTTACCCCAAATTCTAATACTTTTGTCGCCACCACATGAAGCCAATAGTGTGCCACTGGGATTCCATGCTACATTCCATACGCGATCCTGATGACCATCCAATGTAGCCAGTAAATCGAGTTTCCCTGCCATTATTTATAAAGCCCAAGTTCCAAGCATGGATTTACATGGGCGCGGCCATTTTGAAAAATGAGTAATTACCACATTCACAGTAGAAGATTCGGAGATTATATTCGTAATAATAACAGCTGACAGAACTACTGAACGCTTTCAAAACACATTATTAAAACTCTAAAATAAAATCAGCAAATTGCATCTCGCACGTACCATACAAAAATATATTTCAAAATTCTACTTGTGTGTCTTCGAAAATTAGTTTTTTTTTCCCATGTGGACTTTATTTTTTTTATTCAACACGTAAACGGCATATAATAATTAGCAAATTAACCAGTGGACGTACAATTCTGAAATCTGTTTCAAAATACTCCCATATATATAAATGTTATTTCCATGGTTTAAAAGACTTGAATCAGACATGTTTGTTTTAGTAGGCAGCAAAAAGACGTTTCTTCACTTTCAGACTTTCTCCTTTTTAACATCGAGGGCACAAAAACCCTAAAATATTGAGATATTCGGCAAATAAACCCGTGGATGTACATTTCTAAAATCTGTTTCAAAATATACCAACATATATTGTGTTTTCAAAATTAATTTTTGTCGAATTTGGACGGCAAACGGCCGTTTTCTTCACGCTCAGACTTCCTCATTTACCATGCTGAGGGCGCAAGCACCCTAAAATCTCAAAATATTCGGCAAATAAACCCGTGGTCGTACAATTCTAAAATCTGTTTAGAAATATACCCACATAGATTAGCTTTCAAATTAAATTTTAGTCGAATCACACATTTCCGTTTTGGGCGGCAAACGGCCATTTTCTTCACTTTCAGACTTTCTTTTTTACAAAGCCGAGGGCGCAAACATACTAAAATATTCGGCAAATAAACCCGTGGACGTACAATTCTAAAATCTGTTTCGAAATAACACCACATACATTGTGCTTTCAAATTTAATTTTAGTCAAATCATACATTTCCGGCAAACGGTCGTTTTCATCACGCTCAAACTTTCTCCTTTTCAACGCCGAGGGCGCAAACAGCCTAAAATATTCGGCAAATAAACCCGTGGGCGTACAATTCTAAAATCTGTTTCATAATATTTCAACATATATAGTGTTTTCAAAATTAATTTTAGTCGAATCATACATTTTCGTTTTGGGCAGCAAACGGCCGTTTTCTTCACTCTCAGACTTTCTTTTTTTCAACGCAGAGGGCGCAAACAGCCAAAAATATTCGGCAAATAAACCCGGGGACGTACAATTATGAAATCTGTTTCAAAATATTTCCACAGATATTGTTCTTTCAAAATTAATTTTTGCTGATTCATTCATATCGTTTTAGGCACCAAAAAGACGTTTTTTCACTTTCACACTTTCTCCTTTTCAACGCCGAGGGCGCAAACAGCCTAAAATATTCGGGAAATAAACCCATGGACATACAATTCCCAAATATATTGTGTTCAAAATAAATTTTTGTCGAATCACACATTTCCGTTTTGGGCGGCAAATGACCGTTTTCTTAACTCGTATGCTTTCTTTTTTTCACGCCGAGGGCGCAAACAGCTTAAATATCCGGCAAATGGATGATCCGGGGACGTTCATTCTAAATCTGTTTCAAATATTCACACTTTCAAACAAATTTCCGATTTGTTTACGCCCTCGGTGTGAAATGAGAAGTC